CAATACTTTTGGTGCCAGAGTGTCAAAACTATCTGGATTTATCTGGAAAATACTCACCGCTGTCCGGTGAGTGTTACGGGATTTAGGATGCCAAGAGGGCATAAGAGATGATGAGAGGAGAAATCTATGGCTGAAGTTGGGCACTGGTTTTTCCTTCCATCTCTTAAGATAATGCCCCTAGTTGTGTCATATAAAGTTGACTTACGAGGTTGTGTTTTATGAGGTGATGGGCCTGAGAACATGTACAACTGAAAGTAGCAAGGAACTAGAAAATGCTCTAATTAGAAAAAGGGTCTTGGACTTACATAGGCCTCCATCAAAATGTACTCTTTCTATGAAGGTTAGCGATAAGAAGAACCTTTCTCTCAGGATACTATCAGGTAGCATTTACTGAGTACCAAGTATGCCAGGCACATACATGTATTATCTCATGAAATCCTCTCAATAGTCCTATATATGAGTGTTATTTTCCCCATTTTAGCAATGAAGAAACTGAGTTATAGAAAAAGTAAAGAACTTGCCCAAAGCCAACAGCTAGTTGGTAATGAAGTCAGATTTCGAACGTTGGCAACCTGACTTCAGAGCCCACTGTGCCAACAGAGTTTTACTGTGTTCCACCTGGAAGATTCAGATAAAAATTCTTAAGACTCTATGAGCCCTGCAAGCAGTCTTTTCTGAAAAAGTAACACCAATTACAAAATGTCAAATATAGAGAGCTTTTGTCAATATTTACGTTTAAATCTTGGACAAAATGTAAACTCAAAAAATTTTTAATTAAACTCATTACCTTCTTTCTTTTGAAATGAATCAAAATGATTACTAGATGTCTTCAATGGAAAATTAAGCGGTTGCAGAAGCATGCCATAACCAGTATCTGATTTTGCAGGTTCTTCGCACTTTTTCTTGTCTTTGAGCTATGTTAAAATTCTTATCAATTGTAGATAACTCATAACAATGCAGATGATTGCTGTACAGAATCGTGCAAATGGCTTTTGTCTGGCATAAGTGCAATTGATTTCTCTCTACCTCCCATGGAATAAGCCAGTTTTGCAACTATTTGTAAATTAATTTCAGCATACTTAATCTTCATATATGTGTGATTTTTTTAACTCTCACTTTAATCAGCTGCAACATCTATGACTCCCTCATTAACTAACGAGTTAAATAAAATCTTTGGCAGGTATCCATTTTATGGTTGTATGGAAGTCAGGATTATATCCTCTTCTAAAACCTCCAACATCCTTTTCTTCTCTTACTCCAGTCAGTCTCCATATTCTATATATCCTACCTCAAATATGTTTTAATCCCTCCTTTTCTGTTATGCTAGCTTATCTGGGCCCTCATCCTCTCATCAATACACTGTATCAGAAGTCTAATTGATATCTAAATGATTTCTGAATAAGTGCATGAGCACCCAAGTTCGGGATTGGGATTGTAACAGTTATTGTCAATAATGGGAAGAGCTGGACTGCAAATAGCAACAGATACCAGGACTCTTTCAAAAATGTTTCTGAAGTATGGTTTCATTGATACTTCTTTTCTGATAAAACATTTTAGTGCAATATGCACGTTCCTTACTTCAACAATAATATAAGTGCTGTTGCGCCCAAAATTAAAACGGGCTTCGCAGTGGCTTGATGCCTGGTGACATTTCTTCATCCTGCTCTTCCATTTCTTAGGCACGGCTGGATGACACTAGATAGTTTGTTCATCACTTGCAGCTTATGCTATGGGGATATTCAAATGAACAATAATTTATTCAGCTGTTCCTTTTCCTTTCCTTTCCTTCTTTCTTTCCATCTTTCTTTCCATCTTTCCTTCCTTCCTTCCTTCCTTCCTTCCTTCCTTCCTTCCTTCCTTCCTTCCTTCCTTCCTTCCTTCCTCCTCCCTCCCTCCCTCCCTCCCTCCCTCCCTCCCTCCCTCCCTCCCTCCCTCCCTCCTTTCTTTCTTTCTTTCTTTCTTTCTTTCTTTCTTTCTTTCTTTCTTTCTTTCTTTCTTTCTTTCAGGCTTGCTAATAGGATTGGGTTGGACTGGTGGTAGCAGGGGCTGGAGAAGGGGCATCAGCAACATATACAATTTTTCTTTGCTATTCAGGGTATTCAGTGCTTTAAGTTCCTCTTCCTCTAAGGAATGCTCAAAATGTCCTTGGTCCAAAGTTGTTTTTTTGTTGTTGTTGTTTTTCTTGTTGTGTTTTCCAGGTATTTCTTCTAGTACGTGTCAGTGTCAACGTCCATTCTTGTGTATTCTTGTGGCAACATAAGCAGCATAAACCGTAGCCGAGAATTCCCACATAATCTGAATATAGGAATTTAAGTGTGAAAAAAAATGCCCTACGTCAAGCCTCGAACCTCAGGATAACATCTCGAATCGCTGTTTGCAATCTAGAAGTTACGTGCAGGGGCAGGTAGATAGAGGTTTCCAAGAATCAGTTCTGAAGCTGGAGGCTTGCCCAACAGTGACCTAAACCCCACTGAAAGTCCTCAGACAACCCTGTTTCCTGAGTCTCTTTGCACACACAAAATGCTGACAAATAATACTCCTTGAAAAGACTCAGAAGCCATCCCAATACTTGCCTAAGCGGCATAAAGAATAGGAGGCTTTGCCCTGACCGGTTTGGCTCAGCGGTTAGAGCATCGGCCTGCGGTCCGGAGAGACCCTGGTTCGGTTCCCGCTAAGGGCATGTTCCTTGGTTGCAGTTTGTCCCCGGCCCTGGTTGTGTCGTGCAGGTGGCGACCACTCGATGTGTCCCTTTCACGTCGATGTTTCTCTCTCTCTCTCTTCCTTTCTCTCCCTCCCGCTCTATCTGAACAAAGAATGGAAAAATGTCCTCTGGTGAAGATAAAAAAAAAAAAAAGAATAGGAGGCTTTAACCTTCTTGAAAACCCCAGGAATACTGAATTTCCTTTAACAAAATATTCGAATTTATGAGGACTCGAGCTGGAGAAAAAAAAAGGGGGTTGATCCCGTCCCAATTTCAGTTGGAACTACAAATGCCGCACATGTATATCATTTGTCACATGGTTATTATAGAAACATTGCTACGAAGGTTCCTTTTATCTACATGCCTTATAAAATGAAGATGTCAAAATACTCTTCTAAAACAAAGAATTTTAAAATTCAGTAAAATGTTTTAATTGAGCTGTTTCACTTCAATATTTTTTTAAAACATGGCACTTTCCACAGATATGAATCTTATGAATGCCTAGACACAATTAGAATTTATGTACATATCTATTAGACACATTTCCCTTTTTATTAAGAATTACTTTATTATAAAATTATGGGCTATTTTTTTCACTAACATAGACATTATTAGTTTTAATTAATACAATTATTTATAAACCAGTACATAATTACACAATCCAACATGTTCTAACCTTTTTTTTTACCAACTCTCTAAGTTTTAAATATCATTTTATCCATTTTTCTATGGTATACAACAAAAAAGTGAAGTTAAGTAAAATATTTATATATTAGCATATCAACAAAGAACACAATATACTATATATTTAAATAATAATTTTAATATAGAAAAAAATTTAATATCTAATCATTTTATTTTATTTTTATCTTTTTGATTAGAGAGAGAGGAAGTGAGAGGGAGAGAGAGGTAGAAACATCAATGAGAGAGAACATCGATTGGCTGCCTCCTGCATGCCCTTCACTGGGGATCGGGCCCACAACCTGGGCATGTGCCCTGACCGGGAATTGAACCAGCGACCTCTTGGTACATGGGTCGATGCTCAACCACTGAGCCATACCATCTGGACTAATATCTAATAATTTAAAAAATATATAAGGATAAATGTATGTTCTTTTCTATTCAGTAAAAAGAGAGTGCTTAATTTTCTTTGAGTTAATCGTGTAAAACAAAACCTACCTTGTAAAAAATAATATTGAAAATAAAATGTTTTATTTGGGGACTGACTATATGTTCAAAATGTATATTAATGTGTAACTATACATCATGCACCAAAAAGAACAGATATGTCTCTCATTACCTTGCAATTTTAACATAGTCTTCAAAAACTCAACTAACTTGTTTAACTAATTTCTTTTTTCATTGATAAAGTAAAAGCGGTGTTTTGAGGCCCTTTCTGAAGATATTTCCTTAAAAAAAAAAATTGTTTTGTGGTATAGTAATGATTTTACAATCCATGAATTACATATTATGTTTTCTCATTTTTAACCTAAAATTTTGAAGTCCTTCTCTTGAAGAACTATTTAAGAGTATAGCTTCTGATCTCGTGAAGAATAGTTTTTATATTATAGCCACCATAGAAGCAGAACTTCTTGAATCATAGTGTCACTAAAATGATGAGACTAATTGATGACAGTAACAACATCGAAACTGAGGAGAGTAATTTTCTCCATTGGTGTATAACTCTTTTTTTTATCCTCACCCGAGGACATTTTTCCATTTTTTGTTCAGATAGAGCAGGAGGGAGAGAGAGGAAGAGAGAGAGAGAGAGAGAAACATCAATGTGAAGGGACACATCGAGTGGCTGCCACCCGCACGACCAACCAGGGCCGGGGACAAACTGCAACCGAGGTACGTGCCCTTAGCGGGAACCGAACCCGGGTTTCTCTGTACCGCAGGCCGATGCTCCAACCGCTGAGCCAAACCGGCCAGGGCGGTGTATAACTCTTTCATAACAATTTTATCAATATTTCCCCCTGAATAAGATATACTATGGACAAGGAAGGCATTAACAAATCTCTTGAGCCTGTCAATTTATTTTGCACTATGTACAATCTCAGTAAATCTTATATGATCAACACTTTATCTGTAGAAAATTATCCTTTTATTTGACAATTCTTCCCATGAATTTCTTATAATAGTAATGAGCTAATTTAAAAATACAAAGTATATCAAAGCAACCTAAAATATTTCTGGCCTCTCTCTTTTTATAAGATAAATGTATAAGTAGTTGTGATTTTCCAGCAGGTCTTTGCAAAATCTCAAAGATGATGTTAATTTTCATTTTAAGAGACCTCTGGTGTTCGTTTTGGCAGCACATCTGCTAAAACTGGAATTCTCTAGAAAAGATTAGCCTGGGCCCTGCACAAATATGACATGCAAATTTGTAAAGAATTCGCTGTTTTTTCAGCAAATGATGTTGGGAAACTAAATATTCACATGCAAAAGAATAAAGGTGGGCCCCTGGCCAGTTTGGCTCAGCGGTTAGAGCGAGGGCCTGCGGTCCAGAGAGACCTGGGTTCGGTTCCCCCTAAGGGCATGTACCTCGGTTGCAGTTTGTCCCCGGCCCTGATTGGGTTGTGCGGGTGGCTCGATGTGTCCCTTTCATGTCGATGTTTCTCTCTCTCTCTCTCTCTCTCTCTTCCTCCCGCTCTATCTGAACAAAAAATGAAAAAATGTCCTTGGGTGAGGATAAAAAAAATAAATAAATAAAATAAAGGTGGACTTTTACCTTACACCATATACAAAAAATTAACTTAAAGTGAATTAAAGACCTAAATATAAGAGCTACAAGTGTAAGACTCTTAAAAGAAAACCTATTAAAAAAAGCTTTGTAACATTAGATTTGATGATAATTTCCTGACTATCACACCAAAAGCACAGGAAACAAAAGAAAAAAAAGGATAAACTGGACTACATCATAATTTAAAACTTCTGTGCCTCAGAAGACAGTAGCAATAGAGTGAAAGGAAACCTTTGGAATGGGAGAAAATATTTACAAACTATGTGTCTGATTAAGGTTAATATCTAGAATATATGAAGAACTACTACTCAACAAAATGTAAACAAGCAGATTTGAAGTGGGCAAAGGAATTGAAAAAACAATTCTCCAAAGAAGGTATACAAATGGGCAATAAGCACATGAAAAAAAAAATTCAAATCACTAGTCATTAGAGAAGTGTAATCAAAACCACAGTGAGATGTCATTTCGAAAACATTAGGATAGTTATTATTGAGAAACAGAAAATAATAAGTATTGGCAGGAAGGTAGAGCAACTGGAATCCTTGGCCTTGCTGGTGCAAATATAAAATGGTACAGCCACTGTGGAAATTAAACATAGAACTACCTTATGATCCAGCAATCCCACTTCCGGGTATATACTCCAAATATTTGAAAGCAGGGTCTCAAAGACATATTTGTACACCCATATTCATAATAGCTAAAGGGAGAAGGCAAGCCAAGTGTCCATTGCAGAATGAGTGACTAAACAAAATATAGTATCTACAGATAATGGAATATTATTGAGCCTTAAAAAGGAAGAAAATTCTGACATGTGCTAAAATGTGGATGAAACTTGAAGACATTCTAAGTGAGAGAAGCCAGTCCCAATAGGACAACTACTATATGAGTCCACTTATATGAGGTATCTAATATAATTAAATTCATAGAGACAGAAAGCAGAGTGGTGGTTTCCAGAGACTGGGTGGAGGGAGAAATGGGGAGATATAGTGTAACAGGTGTGGAGTTTTAGGTGGAGAAGATGAAAAGTTCTGGAGATGGATGGTGGTGATGGTTGCATAATAACGTGAATGACTATATTACACTTAATACTATAGAACTGTACATTTTAAAATGGTTAAGATGGTAAATTATATGTTAGGTCTATCTCATCACAATAAAAATTGAAAAAGACATTCTAAAAATTTTATTTTTCTGAATTTAGGATCTGATATTGAGGAAACAAAATCAAGAATTATCAGGAAAGATTTGGTTGACTGAGACAGGAGCACAATTCCCTTTAAAAAATAACAACTTATAACCTAACTTGTCATAAATCAAAGTGACAACACGTTTTACAGTAAAAAGAGAAGAGCCCTTGTCAGTTCGGTTCCCGCTAAGGGCACATACCACATACCTCAGTTGCAGTTTGTCCTTGGCCCCGGTTGGCATCGTGTGGGTGGCAACTGGTCGATGTATCTCTCTCACATCAATGTTTCTCTCTCGCTCTTCCTCCCTCTTTCCCTTCTGCTCTATCAGAAGATAAATGAAAAAAAAAAAAGAAGAAGAAAACAAAATTGCAAGGAACCTTAGCTGTTCTGAAGAGATGAACTTAAAAAAAACAATCAAGAACATAATAAAGTTAGCAGAAATTGCAGGATATAATTTTGGTGATACAAAGAATTTCTGCTAACTTTCAGATTACACAGAAGGTAAAGAATAATCCTTCATTCTCCTTGTTAAAAGGAGAGTAAATATTTCAAGATCAATTTATATTTTCACAGGGAGAAAATGAAATTGCAGTATTACATTAATTTAGTCTTTGGCAGTAAAGGATATCGACATATCTTTATAAATAAGCCCATCAAAATTAAGCAAATTTTCCAAAGTTTTAACATATTTTGTCTGTTCTCTTTCAAACTCAGATATTATAAAGTATGACAAATAAAATTCACTAAATCTTCTACAACTTGACATGAAAACTCAAGTTGTACCCTCCCCTATGTGCTTTAAAATTCTGGAACAAACTGAGCTTTAATTTAGAACAAATCAATTCTTTTTTTCCTTGAAAAAACATGTCAGGCTATCTCTTATGACTGTCAAGGGCTATAATTCTCTTTCTCATTTGCTATAATTTCATTTTTTCTTAATTTGATGAGATTTGTTATGTGAGCCATAGTATGGTCTATTTGGAGATGTTCCATGTTCAACATTTGTTTCTTTTTATTCAAGGTAATATGTCCTTATTTTGAGGTCCATAGCATATGATATTAAGGTAAACACACCAAGTTTTTTGTTTTTTATTAATGTGTATAACTTTTTAATCATTTTAACCTATTGAAGAAAAAGCAATGAATTGCAAAGGAGCATGGAGAAATGTTAGGATTGGTGGGAATATTCAGTATCTTGACTGGTGATGATACCACAGGAGATATATATCAGTTACAACTTGTCAAATTGTATCCTTAAATTTAAGGCAGTTTTTGATACAAGAATTATACCTCAATGAGGTTGATTAAAGACAGAATATAATAATAAAAAGTATCTAGAAACTCTTCAATATTTGGAAATAAATGCACATCTAAATAAACCATAGGATGAAGAAGAAATTACAATAAAAATCTAAAATATATTGAACTGAGTAGTGAAGATATTTCAGATAAACGTATGCAGGATGCAACTAGAGCAATGCTTAGAAAGGAACTTATGGTGCTAAGTGTTTATATTATATTAGAGATAAGGAACCATTTAATAATATTAATCTAAGGTTCTACCACAGGAACCTAAATAAAAAATTAAATCCAAAGTAAGTCAAAAGAGCCCTGGCTGGTCTGGCTCAGCAGATATAGTATCAACCTGCAGACCAAAGAGTTGCAGGTTCAATCCCCACACCTGGTTGGGGTTATGTGGGAGGTAACCAATCAATTTGTCTCACATTGATGTTTCTCTCCCTCCCTCCCTCCCTCCCTTCCACTCTTCAAAACCAGTGGAAGATTATCCTCAGATGAGGATTAACATTAACAAAAAAGTAAGTCAAAAGAAAGAGATAATTGCCCTGGCTGGTTTGGCTTAGTGGTTAGAGTGTCAGACTGCGGACCAGAGAGACCTGGGTTCGGTTCCCACAAAGGTCACATACCTTGGTTGTGGTTTGTCCCTGGCCTTGGTAGGGTCATGTGGGTGGCAACCACTCTATGTCTCTTGCATGGATGTCTCTCGATGTTTCTCTCTCTCTCTTCCTCCCTCTATCCCTCTCACTCTATCTGAAGATAAATGCAAAAGTGTCCTCAGGTGAGGTTAAAAAAAAAAAAGAAAGAAAGAAAGAGATAATGATGATCATAGGAGAAATCAATAAAATTGAAAATGACCAACTAATAGAGAAAATTAACAAAACAAAAATTTGTTCTTTTCCTTTGAAAATGTTAATATAGTTGATAAATCCCTGGATAGGAGTCGTGCTGTTTTGTTTTCTTCTGGGACATGAGTACACTTACCAAAGAAATTTAGATATTCTCAGTGTTCTAGATAATATTATTTTTTAATATTATTGTTTTTACCACAACAACTATGGATATTAGTCTTTATTAACAGCATTAGGTAAAAATTTGAAGTGTAAACAGTTAAGAAAAGGGAATGGCATTTTAGTTATTCTTGCAAAGACATCAATGTAGGAACAAGCATGTTGTGGTTACAGTTTATAAAAAAATATCCAAAACTTGAAAATAAAGCCAAGAGAGTACAGCATATATGTTCAGTGTGATAGTGGATGAGTATTTATTTAAAATATCTGAAGATTATTTAATTCTTTAAGAAAATTAAACTGGCACTTTCACCTGTGTCTTATCATTCTCTTTAGTATTTGATTAGAGCCCAGACATTGTGAAATTAATGTTATCTTGTGTGATAGAAATTAACTCCCAGAATTATGTTAGGGTTTTGTTTGTTTGTTTGTTTTTTACTGTGAAGTAACCAGTTGTGTTATCTAACCTGGCAATCTTGTTTTAACATGACTTTACTCAAGTGCCTATAAATAGTTCTTCAAAATGTTTGCTGAAATTGCTTTAATCTTACTTGCTAATGTTAGGAGACAATTTTCTACGAGTCTCTCTCACTTCTGTGTGTTTTATGAGCAGAGGTCCCAACTGCCTTTGTTCTGCATGATTTTTTCAGGAATGTTTGTGTAGCAAACAGCCTTGGAGGATACAGTATTTGCTTCCATAGCAAAACTCAGGTTTGCTTAGAGCCTTGGAACATAAAGATAGGCTTCCCTCCTGAGGGTGGGGAGGGTGGTGGTTAGGCATGCTTAGTTCAGAGTTCCTCTCCTAGAATACAATCTGCAGCATGTGCAAGAGCCACCTGTCCTCCTTTATATCACTGTGTGCAAATTTTGGTTTGAAGAAGTGGCACGAAATTTGTTTGTGCTCATGCTGTTTGTTGTGCTATGAGTGATACCTTTCTTCTTTTCTCTGACCCAGGCACCTTGTGTCTTCTGCCAGCATCCATGATAAGTGCATGGCAGGTAACTTTTCAGCTTGCAAGTAGGGCAAAATCTTAAATCTTTCACAGTTCTTAACAGATTCTTCAATATTTAAAAAATTGGACAAATGTTTGAGTTGTGTTCTTTCTAAATGTATATGAGAGTTATGTTTCAATCCTTTGAAAATTGTGCTTTAACATGCTTTTAGGTCAT